TTGAGATAAGGGGGGTGGACATCGACAACCCTCATTACAACTATATCATCTCCTTCACCGTGCCTGACATCGACAACGTGACCGTGGTGGATTACGATGCTCTCGAGCACCGTATCTACTGGTCAGACGTCCGCACCCAGACCATCAAGAGAGCTTTCATCAATGGCACTGGAGTTGAGCCTGTGGTGTCTGCGGGTAAGGAGGAGGCAGCACAATAGAAAAATGTTTTCAGTACTGACAGCTTTTTACAAACAGATATTTATTTATCAATCGCTTAGATATCATGCTCATGTGCTTTAAAGCAGGGTACTACTCGCAGGAGTCAAGTCTTTACAGTTTGTAAATTGGAATTTGCTGTTCTTTCTTTCAGATGTGCCCAATGCTCACGGCCTGGCGGTGGACTGGGTTTCCAGGAACTTGTTCTGGACCAGTTACGACGCCAATAAGAAACAGATTAATGTCGCCAGACTGGATGGCTCCTTCAAAAATGCTGTCATCCAAGGCCTCGACAAACCACACTGTCTAGTGCTGCATCCAATACTAGGGTTGGTCGTCCACACACACACACACACACACACACACACACTAAACCTCTCACCCTTTATCGAAATAAAGCTTTCAGAAATAGTTTTTCGACACCCTCTTGATTCTACCTTAAACTTATAACACATACACACAGAAGTGCATACACACAATTGTACACATCCGACAATGTCTGACTGTCAGGTTCCCTTCTGTTTGCAGTCAGCAGTGACAGGCGCAGTAGTTTGGTATAGATGGTTCGCTGACCTCCGACTGTTTCTTCGCTCAAGATGTGGTTCCATTTTTTCTCCCCTCGTGTCATCTTTCTCCTCCGTCGCTCTCTCTCTACATCTTGTTCCATTTCTATTTTTGCAAGATGCCTTCTGTGCTAAGATCACCATCCATGAATTATTTACTGGCCGTGTCCTCGTGGCTATCTGTCGCTATTTCTGATCCAATGTTTTTCATACATCCTGTCCCCTCCTGCCTTGTTTAGCAAATGTCCATGTTCCCTCCCTTCTTCCCTTTGAAACCTTATGCCCCCCTTAGCTCCCCAAACAGAAACTGGCCTCTGTCCTTCTTCTGTCTTCAGAGCAGCGACAGACCATCCGTATGTTTAGTTTTGTCTTTTTTTCTGCTTTTCATTATTTGAGCTAGATTAAGAGAGGATATTTTCTTGAGAAATATCTCTCCCTCCTAGTGTTTTTTTTGTGTACTCCTTCCTGCTTTGAAAGACTTGGCCTACTTAAGCGGAGGAATGTTTCCGATTTGAGCATTGTTGGAATGGGGGAAATGAGAAGCAGATGCTGAATCCATATGCTGGAGCTGTCTCCTCTTTCTAGCACACAAACACACTGCTCAGAATACATCCAGGAGTGGGTGGGGGTAAAGAGAGTCAGGGAGGGAAAAACTCAAGCTTGTGTGTGTACATGTGTGTATGTGTGCGCGCAAATCTTAAGAATGAGGGCGTGCTAAGAAACTTTATTTAAGGCATGTTCACAAACAAGGACAAAAATAAAGGGTGTGGTGGATGTGGTGGGATTTAACAGGAAGTGAAGGACAGATACCCTTTAAACATAGATTACACATAGTCTAAACACAGTGACACACAATCACTTTGTCTTGTATACTCTGCACATGTGTGAGGACAGTGTGAGAAGCAAGGAAGTTGACGTCAAAACCAGCCAGAAGTAATTTCATTTCAGTGGTTCTCCATATTTTCATAGTCACAACATAACAAACTTCACAAGTGGCCTATTGATTATGCTTAGTCAATAAAGTTAGTTATGATTTAAGTTCTCTCTCTGCCTAACCCTTTCAGGAAACTCTACTGGACAGATGGGGACAACATCAGCATAGCCAACACAGACGGCAGCAACCGAAGTGTCCTCTTCTCCGGCCAGAAAGGCCCCGTCGGTGAGCGACTTACTGGACCTCTTTGTGTGACAGCACAGACTGGAGACCGGGCATGCCATTACACATCAGCTCTTTCTGTGTCTTCCAGGTCTCTCCATTGACTTTGACACTGAGTACTTGTACTGGATAAGCTCAGGAAACAGCACAATAAACCGCTGTAAACTAGACGGCTCTGGACTAGAAGTTCTTGACGGAGTAAAGGGAAAGCTCACCAAAGCTACTGCTCTGGCCATCATGGGTACGTTTCCAGAAAGTCTTCATTTCAGCCAGAGCTCAGTCCAGCCGTAAGATAATGTATGTTTTTTTCCTTTAGGGGAAAAGTTGTGGTGGGCAGATCAAGGAACAGACCAGATAGGAACCTGTGACAAGAAGGATGGCGGCAACTGGAAAATCCTGAGGAACAGCACGTCTCCCATGATGCACATGAAAATCTACAATGAAACCGTGCAAAGAGGTGCAGAGCTGGCAGCCAAAAAGCAACATTTAGTTAGTTCAATTATTTAGCAAATACATTTTTTTGAATGAAGAGAGAAAACTAAATCCTTGTCTCATTGTAGGTCTGCTTTGCTTGCAGCATGAAGCCTGTTTTTCTATGAAAAAGTACATCTGTTTATGTCTCTGTAACCCCTCTTTGATACGTTTTGTGTACATGTTCTTGTGCTTATGTGTTCCCAGGCACCAATCTCTGCAGTAATAACAACGGAGACTGTTCCCAGCTGTGTCTCCCCACCTCCCCGACCACCAGAGCCTGCATGTGCACTGCCGGATACAGCCTGCGCACGGGGCAACAGTCTTGTGAGGGTAAGTAGTATTCATGCACAATTTCTTGATTTAGCCCAATTTGGCTTTAAGAATTGATGGAAATGATAAAAACATGGAGTTTTATTTGTTTTTTTGTTTTTTTCTGTAGGTGTTGGCTCTTTCTTGCTGTACTCTGTGCATGAAGGCATACGTGGTATTCCGTTAGACCCATTAGACAAGTCTGACGCACTGGTACCAGTGTCAGGCACATCCCTGGCGGTCGGCATAGATTTCCATGCAGGTAAGACTTTTGTTCAACAAAGACCATGAGTCTGAAACATCAGATTTATTTATCTCTGCCAACCACTTGGTATGTGTTACTGTATTAAGGTAAAGGAAAGGTCTGTTCAGTCCACCTCTAACTTGTTTAATTTGTTTTGACAGACAATGACACAATCTACTGGGTGGACATGGGCCTGAGCACCATTAGCAGGGCCAAGAGAGACCAGACCTGGAGGGAGGATGTGATCACTAATGGCATCGGCAGGGTGGAGGGCATCGCTGTGGACTGGATAGCAGGTGAGACACATTAGATGTACAAAACATGACCAACATTTTGGAATTGAAACACTTTATTCAAGAGACATCTGTGAACGGCCCGAAGCATCAATGCTGTTCCTTCATCCTCTACAGGAAACATCTACTGGACGGACCAAGGCTTTGATGTAATAGAGGTGGCCAGACTGAACGGCTCTTTCCGCTATGTGGTGATCTCCCAGGGCCTGGATAAGCCTCGTGCCATCACTGTCCACCCTGCAAAAGGGTGAGAGGAAACAACACTTCAATTACTGCTGTAGCTCTCTGGAGCTTCTGTAATCTCTCTCATTACTGGTTACTGAGGAAGTTGTGCGTGTGTGTGTTTTTGTGTATGTGTGCAGCTACCTGTTCTGGACAGAGTGGGGCCAGTATCCGCGTATTGAACGGTCTCGCCTGGATGGCACTGAGAGGGCTGTCTTGGTCAATGCCAGTATCAGCTGGCCCAATGGTATCTCCATTGACTACGAGGTGCAGTACAAAGGGGCATTGCCACTGCATTTGTCTCGCTATGTTACAGTGCAGACAGTGGACGTCATATCAGCATCTCAACCATTCCCTTCCGTGTGCATGTAGGAGAGTCTGCTGTACTGGTGCGATGCTCGGACAGACAAGATTGAGCGCATCAACCTGGAGACCGGGGAGAACAGGGAGGTGGTGCTGGCCAACAACAACAACGATATGTTCTCCGTGTCTGTGTTTGAGAGCTACATCTACTGGAGTGACAGGTAAGCGACCTCATTCGTCACTTATTTGGGAGTCTGAATATTACACCTATCTGGCTTGATTTCCCTTTGATTTCTGTTTCACATTTGAACCAGGACACATGCTAATGGCTCCATAAAGAGAGGCAACAAAGACAACGCCACAGACTCTGTGTCTCTGAGGACTGGTATTGGTGTACAGCTGAAAGACATCAAGGTTTTCAATAGGGCCAGGCAGCAGGGTAAGCACTAGGGCGCTAGTTTTGAAACTGTAAAAATGTCCTTAATTATGATTAATTAAATACTACAGAAATTGAACGTTTCTTGTGCAAATTCCTTTTTTTTCAAGCAGCTTAAATGCAGTTAATTATATTTCAAGGATTTCATTTCATTCTTTCTACAGGGACAAATGTGTGCAAAGACAAAAATGGCGGATGCCAGCAGCTGTGTCTTTTCCGTGGCAATGGGCAGCGGACGTGTGCTTGCGCTCATGGCATGTTGGCTGAAGACAGCAGCAGCTGCCGTGACTACGAAGGCTACCTGCTTTACTCAGAGCGCACCATACTAAAGAGTGTCCACCTGTCCGATGAAAACAACCGGAACGCACCCATAAAACCGTTTGAGGACCCCGAGCACATGAAGAATGTCATTGCACTCACCTTCGATTACAGAGGAGGGGGAGGAAAGGGAGCTAACCGAATATTCTTCTCCGACATCCACTTCGGCAACATTCAGCAGATCAGTGATGACGGATCCGACCGCAAGACCGTGGTAGAGAGTGAGTATTCCCTCTATTTAAGTCACAGAGACACTTTTATCATTCCACAAGCTCATGTCCCAGTTTATCTGAGACATAAGCTTATTAAAGCTCATTAGATTATATAAGATTTTCCCCCCTCCCAAAAGGGATATTGGGCATATCACAGTTATTTATTACTACTTCACTTCCCTTAGTTGTAGACATCAGATCCCCACTGAGAACATTTCAAGGGGGGAAAACCACTGTTTCTCAAAGCACTCTCACACCAGCAAGCTTTTATTCTGAAGCTGTAGCCAAACAAGACACAAAGCTTCGAGAAAGGAATGTTGATCAGTACAACCAGGCATTCAGATTCACAGATAACCTTATCTCAGCACAACAAAACACAGGTGCACCGTTAATGTTTTACCCACAGGGCTTTACTTTAAAAGGTTTTACAAGGACTGCATGATTCACGATTGTTTATCCCACTTTCCCCGTGGAGCAGCAACTCTCAGTGCTACTGGTTTGATCGTCTTGAACAATACCCAGACAATCATTGAATGTTGTGAAGAGGCAAAGATGCTGTTGTTGGTATTGTTCCTTGTTCCTGCTTGTGAAGTAGACGTTTCAAATTGAGGGTAAAGATCGTGTCCCTTCTTTCCCCACGTGAGTCCTCCGACAAAGCTGCTTGGCTTAAAATTGTTCTGGATTCAGAATAAATCAGGATTTATCCAGTTTCTGTGTGTGACATATCGAGCTGGTTGTTGATGGTAATACTGTCAGGCAGCTTCCATTGCCACAGCAACACTGGTTCCTTGCTCGTCCCTCTTGAACAGCCTCAGCAGGTCTTGTCTGAACTTTTGGGACATTAGTACATATAGGATGGGGTTTATCACCATAGAGGATGTTGCCATGAGGCGTGCAAATACACCAAAGGGGCCGTAACGTGGGGATGTACCAGTGGTCCCTGAGTGTTCATCCACCAGTAAGGCGAGTGTCAGTCCGTAGGAGGGCAGCCAGCACAGGGCAAAAGCCAGCACCAGCATGGCCGACGTCTGGGTCACTTTGCTGTGGTAGCGCTCTACTTGGGGAGCCCTGCCGGCCCGTTGGCTCCTCCAGAGGAACCTGTAGATGCTGCCGTATGCCACTGCAATGGTGACCAGTGGAAGCAAGAAGGCCAGAAGGAAGTGAAACAATCCATAGATCAACTGGTCTCTGTGGGATAGGAAAGAAAAACAAGCAAGGCCATCAGAGGCTCGGGGTGGGGTGGCTCCCACAAAGCGAAAAACCAGCTGTGGAGTAGCCAGGCAGCAGGCCGGGACCCACAGGAGCACAGCAGCTATAGACACACGGCGAGGGGAGAGGAGGCAGAAAGCCCTGGCAGGCCACACCACAGTCAGATATCGAGAAGCAGCCAGCGCGGCCAGCGTGAAGGCACTGGCGGAGGAGCAGGCCGATCCCAAGAAGCTCACCAGGCGACACATAGAGTCTCCGAACGGCCACCGCTGCATGGCTATGGCGACGGTGTGGAAAGGGAGCATGGAGAGCAAAAGCAGGTCGGCAGCGCTCAGAGCCACCAGGAGGACGTCTGTTCCTGTTCCTGTCATGGGGCTTTGACGGGACTGGCCAATGTGTCTCACGCCACTCCTCCGCCTTCCACACAGGATCATCATCACCATGGTGTGTCCGCTAACTCCCAGCACCAGAATCAGTGCATCTAGTACGGGGACGAGGACCCGCTCCACGTCTCCATGCCCAGTGTTGCTGCCGTTCCCCAGCAGATCCTCTGAACTGTTCAACAGCAGCATCATGCCTTCAGCTATGCTGCCACTGTTGGCTTTTGGTTCGGCCAAGTATTCTCAAATCGGTCATAAAACTACTGATAATACCAGTGGGAATGGTTACTCATACTGTGGCTGAACAGCGGAACACCGTTCCAATAACTTCCCTATAAATCTACCAATGAAAAGCACCGACAGTGGATGTGATTTACATGAATAAATACACACATAGATACATACGTTCATGTCTGATTTGGGAAATGACATTTGCATTGAAAAGCATCCATCAAATGACCATTTTCATAGTAGATTTCAAGCTGCTTCCAAAGAGCCGTATGTGAGTAAAGCCATCCGAGTCCTCGCAATCTGCTCCACCTGGGAATGGACGGGTGATGTTAAAAGTGAGTTAAATAACTCCTCCGGTGACGTCAAGTTAATTGCCGGGGGTTTCCATCAACCTCTTTTTAAAGCGTCCAAGTATCGAGAGCTAAATGCCGTAGATGGGTTGATTTCCTGTCACCTCAGAGCAGGCAGCTACTCCACATGACGTCTCAATCAGGCCCGTGCTCAGCAATCCACAATCAGCCTCACTCCTGCCTCCAAGGAACCGATCTGCTGAGACACACAACTCTGCCGGAGGAGAAAATGAAAGGAGTTGAATGTTTGACAGTAAGAGAGGACGAAACAGAGTAAACGTCAGGTGAACTCTGGACTGATTATCGTGGAGCCGGCGAGAGATGGGCCGGCCCGCGCTCTGTGGGAGGGACTAATGGGGCCCGACATAGTTTGTACAAGGGTCAATTGTTTCTGTTAATTTTCTGAAAGCGTTATTTATTTCTGGTCCGATAGCATACATACACTAAACGGCTATCACACCCACTGCAAATAACTGCAATAAAGAACTAGCAGTGTCAGTATAACCAGCTGAGCTCAAGGGCTGTACATTTAGCTCATCTGAATTATTGTAAACAGCATGAGAAAATGTACAAGACCTTAAGGCTTGTTTAGGCTCAAACAATGAAGCGTGATGACGAACAAGACTGAACAGCAATAATTTGAATAGAGAGAGCTGCAGGCTAGATTTTTATAATTCATTAACATCCCCCAGGAAAGAGGGGAGTGGAATTCAAGTTGCTCTTCATCGATTCTAAGGGCATTGATTTACAAGCATGATAAGCAAGTTTTTTCTATTTTCTGTGGCATGCTCTTGCTCAACTCACCAAGTTGCTTTGGTTCATTCACAGTCTCGTGGCATGAGCCGGTCAAATGTTGATGGATATACGTGGCGTTTCCCTGGATATGTTGAGGTGGAGTGTTAAGTGTCCCACCTGGTGGCGAACCTCCCCGATCATTCCGCCCTTGGCCTGGAAATGCCCGCTGAGATTATTAGACCCTTCCCGGTTCCATTGCAGCAACATTTACAAGAAGGCAATTATTACCAATCATCTGGCATTGGATGTGTTTTCAGATGTACTCCTCCCGAAGTAAACTTGTGCTCTAGCAGAGCAGCTGTCCTCTATCTGCCACTGCAGAACTTTGTGTTCCTCTGTCTTGGCTCACTCTGTCCTGTCTTCTGGCCCTCGTGCAGGCGAGGAGCTCGCAACCTCTTACTCGTTCCAAGGTTGCAGATCAGACAAAAATCCCTTTTTACTTCTCACCCGTTGATGAGGTAGTGCAATGGAAAGTAATACGCAATGCTGCAACTGTTATTGTGACCTTTTTTAGTCAGCTATTTGCTGGATAAAAGCTTTGAATCACACTGCGTTCTCTGTCATTAATACCACACTGTCATGTCCAGCCCGGACTCTGTGCTGCCCCACAGCAGACTGCCAACACGCAGCTGCTCCCAGACAGTCCACACTCGGCCTTTTAACAGTGGACTGGGATTGACGTGCTTCTTTTCCTTAACCCCCTCTGATTTATCCTCTGATTATTTTTCAGACGTTGGCTCGGTGGAGGGCTTGTCGTACCACAGGGGCTGGGATATGTTGTACTGGACCAGCTACACTACCTCAACCATCACCCGCCACACCGTGGATCAGAGCCGCTGGGGTGCCGTCGACAGGCACACCGTGGTCAGCATGTCGGGAGATGACCACCCCAGAGCCTTTGTCCTCGATGAGTGTCAGAGGTGGAAAAATAAATCGATAAATAATTCACACCACACTTCTTTGCATCAAAAGCATTCCTAAATTAAGTTAAACAAATTCACGTTTTTTTCTCTCTGTCTGCAGCCTCATGTTTTGGACCAACTGGAACGAGCAGTCTCCCAGTATTATGCGTGCGACACTGGCGGGCTCCAACGTCCTCGTGATCATCGGCAGTGATATCCGAACGCCTAACGGCTTGGCGATAGACCACCGCGCTGAAAAACTCTATTTCTCTGACGCCACACTAGACAAGATAGAGCGCTGCGAGTATGACGGCACTCGCCGCTATGTGAGTAACATACACGCAATCGCGACAATCACAGTGTACATTGTGTACACGCACAGCAGGATGATTGTAATCGGGGGATTGCCTGATGATCTGTGAGAATTTGCTGAGGTTGTGACTGTGGTTGTGCTTCCCCCTGCAGGTGGTCTTGAAGAATGAGCCCGTCCATCCATTTGGCCTGTCTGTGTACGGTGACTACATCTTCTGGACTGACTGGGTGAGGAGGGCCGTGCTCCGGGCCGACAAATACACAGGAGGAGACATGAAGGTGCTACGTAACGACATACCTCAGCAGCCAATGGGAATCGTCGCTGTGGCTAACGACACCAATAGCTGTGAGTTTTTACACACAGAGGGATCCAGCTTTGTGTATAAGAGTGTGTGTGTGTGTGTGTGTGTGTTTTGGTGCTACTGTGCGAAGATAGTGTGAAGTACATAATGCTTAGCACTGGGTGATATGCATAAAGTAACAGCGATATTTCCATGAATCCCATTTTCATTCATAAGAATCTTTTAAATGAATATTTATTATGATTTTGATCATAATTTGATTTTCTGTCAAAATCTAACCTCTAAATATAGACTTAAGTATCTTGACAAGAATGCCTTTCATCACAATGGTGCAAAATAGAAGGTAGTTTGAAATGCATAGCTACAACATTGACGCGCAGTTAATGAGGTGACAGAACTAATCTAGGAGGGACAGTGAAAAATATAAGGTGATGACATTTTACAAATTACCAACATCCGCTCTGTATTACCACAGAAAAGTGCCTGCTGAATTCATGATTTCTCTTACACTTCTCCACCTCTTTCTCAAGCTCATCTTGTTCTATATCTCCCATCAATGGGGCCCTGCATTTTTTCTCTCTCTACCATATCGTCAGCCATCCTCTTCCTCCTCAGTAAACTCTCTCGCGCCCCAATACGCACCGGGACCATGTAAGCAGAGCGCCTGTGGTAATAGCGGCAAATCCCATTTAGATTGAGTCACAATGACATGCGCAGTCAGTGAAGGCATCACCACATTCACGCAGGCGTATGTGTCTGCTGATGTGAATGCAGACATGGGAGGGTGGGTGTTTGCTTCTTTGTCGGAAGGGTGAATGAAGGGTGAAATCCTCAGCCGACTCACGCCTGTGTGTGTTTGTGTGCGTGTGTTAACATGAGCAGACTCGTGAAATGTGGCTAACCCTTCCTAACTTTCCTCATTTCTGCATAGGTGAGTTCTCTTTGTGCCGTGTTAACAATGGAGGGTGTCAGGACCTTTGTTTGCTGACCTCTGAGGGAAGGGTCAACTGCAGTTGCCGTGGCGACAGGAAGCTTTTGGAAGACAACACCTGCATAGGTAACACAGAACAGGGATTCCTAATAGAATTTTGGCTTAAAATGCCAATGGCTGGGACACCATATGAAGGGGTTCTAATGAAGTTACCCTATGCATGCAATTTGATGAAAATATATTTTATTTTATTTAGAAAAACAAGATCAGGCTTTTAATGGATTTGAATGAGCACATAGGATTCTCCAGGCTGTTAGGCCACTCTCTCTCAGTGCATTTTTGTCTTTCTCTCACAGCGCTCAACACTACATGTAACAACATCGATGAGTTTGAGTGTGGAAATGGAGATTGTATTAACTACACCCTAACCTGCGATGGCATGGCCCACTGCAAAGACAAGTCTGATGAGAAGCAGTCCTACTGTGGTAAGTTGAATCTGTTTCTCAGTAAAAAAACTCCTTTACCCATGTTTGTGTGGTGACATTTGCAGTTTGATTCTGTATCATTTCCTGTCCGATCCTCAGCCAACCGCGTGTGCAAGAAGGGTTATAGACGATGCGTGAACAGCCGTTGTGTGGGGCATAGCTCTTGGTGCAACGAGCAGGACGACTGCGGTGACAATTCTGATGAAGTCTTCTGTAACAGTGAGTCAAGGATTCTGACTAAACAAGTTATTCTCGCCTGCATTCCTAAGATATTTATGAACTCCATTTGACAAACACGCTGTTGTTTTTTTGTCAGCTACACTGTGCACAGCCGATCAGTTCCAGTGTAAAGATGGTGGCTGCATCTCCAACTCCAGCAAGTGTAACCAGAAAGTGGACTGTGCGGATGCCAGTGACGAGACAAACTGCAGTAAGTTGAAATGATCTGATTCATTCAGAACGACTGAAGCCACATCCCCACAGGCTATGGTATAAAGTAGTGCTGCTCTCTTTTATTAAGCTGCCACAGACTGTTCCAGTTACTTCCATCTGGGAGTGAAAGGAGTGACATTTCAGAAGTGCGAGTTCACTACGCTCTGCTATGCCCCTTCATGGCTGTGTGATGGAGCTAATGACTGTGGAGACTTCTCAGATGAAAGAAATTGCCCAGGTATTTTATACTCATATAAATTTTGTTACAGCTAAATAAATGTACTATTGCACTATTCATGCACTATTCAGGGGGAAATGTGAGAATTATTTTTTTTGAATTCCAAAAACAATACTTTCATCCATTAAGTTGTGGTTTTGGAAGAAAAATCTCCTTAAAAGTGGTTGCACTGTATAATTTTGTATTTCTCTCTACTGCCTTGATGTTTTTCTCCAATGACTTTCTACTTTTCTGTCGCTTTGCCAGGGAGCGGGAAAACAAAGTGTCCGACGCCCTTTTTCGCCTGTCCAAGTGGCCGCTGTATCCCTATGAGCTGGACCTGCGATAAGGAGAATGACTGTGAGAACGGTGCAGACGAGGCTCACTGTGGTAAGCGTAGATACTAGAGCCCAAACATGCTCCATTGACCGTTACTTTGTTTTGCCGCTTGTATTTTGCAATTCATACAATCTTTCTGGACCTCCTAGATAAATTCTGCTCAGCCTCTCAGTTTGAGTGTGGGAACCACCGCTGCATTCCCAACCGCTGGGTGTGCGACGGAGCCGACGACTGTGGCGACAGCAGCGATGAGGACACCAAGTGCAGTGAGTGTTGGGCACAAACCTTTATTAAATACAAAAACAAGATTAATAAGAATATACATTATTAAAACCGCTCACAGGTGGATATTGTGATATCCACATGTGGATCTTTTAACTAACCTAATGGACTAAATATTGGCGTGCAACATTTGCAAATAATGTAGGTTTTTTTGACAGCTTAAAGCAATCATGCTGCCTATGAAACAATTTTCTAAACAATTACCTGATTGTTGGCGGGATGGATTCACAATTACTCAAGGGCAAACAATGGCTTCAAAATAATCTGGAAATACCTCTTTCCAACACAGA